GTCGGTTGGCGGGTCGGTCGGTCGGTGGGTCGGTCAGCCATCCAGTCAGTCAGTCAGTCGGTCGGTCGGTCGGTCGGTCGGTCGGTCGGTCGGTCGGCTCAAGCCCATTTTAGCCTGGCAAATTGAGTGGGCTGTGCCAACGGTTCAAGCAGCACGAACTCTGTACTCCCTGTCTGGCTTATCTTGACAGCCAGGCCGTCAAAAGCGAGTGGATGTGCAGCCCCCAAAAGGTGGCGCCCCCAAACGCAGATACCTGCCCGCCTGATTGCCTGTCTGTCAGGACAACTACCAGCCGAGCCAATCGACCGTGAGCGGTCGACATGACTCCGGCCAAAGGGAAAAGTGTGGTGGATGGAAGAGCAGAGGGGATTTGGGACGGGCACAGTGCCACCTCGACCCCCTCTCCACAACCCCCAGTCTGACTGTATCAAGGCGTATTTCGCCGGTAGAACGCCCGGACTGGGCCACTCCACGGGACGGCAAGAGTGGGAAAGGTGGCTCGGAGTGTAGGGGTGCTCGCCAGGTGTGTTTGGGAGTGGGCATGATAGGGAGAAGTTGAGAAAGGAAATTAAGATAAGTATGCTAGCCTGGGCCATAGCCTGTAGTCAAGGTGGGAGTGAGAGAGTGATTCTGAACCAAAGTTTGGCTGACAGGGCAGGCGGTCCGAGGTCAGTGAAACGGACATCTACTCGTCCATCCATCCATCCTCTCTCCTCTCTCCGTCTCTCCATCTCTATATCAGTATTCTAGCAGTCTATTCATTAAATGTCAGTCAATATGTCCGATAATTCTCCTAATTTCCCGACCAGCCTCGTTAACCCATCATTCGTTAGCCCCAACATTCGCTACAAGTTGGCTCAAGTCAACTCAAGTTGGTTCAGCCAGTCGGTTGGTGTGACGGTGACATGACGTGTGGTCGGGTCAGGGTGGGAGAAAAGTACCTCGGAAGGCGGAGACGAGGACAAGGATGGGGATGGGGATGGGGATGGGGACGAAGATGGAGATGGAGGCAGCCAGAGGCGCGACCATGCGGCACGAAGAATGAAGGGGAATTGATTAATGACAAATGGGCGTGACAACGCAGTCTAAGATTTGGCCCAATACAGACGCACTCAGCTATCCTCATAATTGGAAGTATATGGCCTAGGTTATCGCACAAAAACCATTTGTGTTTCGAGTGTTAGCTTGTGTTTGGTTGTCTGCAAATGTCTGCAAGGCGAGACACGGGGTGGGGGAGTAACCCGAATCACGCGAACACCAATAGGACCCGACGTGACGGGTTGCAGACTTGCAAGACGGCCGGTGGTGGAGGTGACGCCAGAGGGTGGGTCGGGAGTGTGAGGTCTCGCCGAGCACGGCACACACGAAGCGGCCTCAACTCGGCCACATGAGAGAGAACAGTTTACCGCAGATGGCCACAGATGCACAAATGATAGCCCAAATGAGGGAGGGCTGAGGGAGGCCATTTGCAGAGTCATGTGATTGTTTTTTGCAAATTCAGTCTCTCCGCCCTGTCATCACCAAAACCTGCGACCAGTGCAGGCTGCCATGGCAAGGGAATGGCGAGGGAATGGGAAGCGGAATGGTAAGGTGATGTTGAGGCAGATGGTCAACCCTAACTTACTTTGGCGGATGTCCGTTTAGCTAGACTGTTGGGGATGACACCCTTCCAACGTCGAATTAGCGGGAATCCATGGGACTAGTAGATACCAATTAGAACAGGCAAAACAGCCCCATAGCTGGCGGTAGGCTGGGTAGGGAAGACCTTCGCCTTCGTCTGGCGCACTTATAAACTATGAGCAGAACAGGATTCCGCAATTCTTTTGTGTGCACTTCTCATGTGAAAGCGTCTGAACAATAAGTGGGTAGGCCAACCCTCTGAAAAAAAGCGAGAGATAAGTCCTGTTGTTCTGTGGTCATTTGATTCTACCATGAAGACCGAAATCTGTTGAAAAAGGCATGAGCTTCCGTCTACCAAGTTTGTCAAGTCCTAAAGTGAAGACCCCCCAACATTTACACATCCACACCACACTCATTAACATACAAACACATTAAAAT